TAGTTTATATGCCTATTTAATTGCTTAATAGAAGATGTTACTAGTTTGTTGCATAAGGTTGTACACATAATTTTCTTTCATTTTTTTCTTTGAGAAATATAAGGTTGTATATATACTTTTGTACAGTGCCTTCACCAATTTAATAAGAGTATTATTTTTCCTTTTTACTAATCCTCATAAGGAGGGATATATAAATAATTCTGTTTAATTTCAAAATTTTATGATTCATGCCGTTATTATTATCATTATTTTGTTAGCAACAGTAACAGAAATTAATATTGTATATTCATTGTTTTAATTATTCTTATGTTGGAGTGACACTAATGATTTAGTTTTAGAATATGTTTTGTTTATAATGATATTATAATAAAAAGGAGAAAAACAAATCTCTCTGTCATCTTACAATTAAAAATGGTGCGAAGTGTCACAGTCCAGAATTCAACCCAGTGCGATGGCATCACGGAGCAGGCGTGACGGTGATGGAATAGTTTACAAATATATTACTAAAAAGTGCCGATAATTTTTTAAATTGAGATTTATAAACCCATTTTGTTTTTGTTTTTGTTTTTAAATTTCTGTTTTTAGTTGATCAACGGAATGCATGGTAAAATGAGTATTTTGTGATAAAATAGTAATTTGAAAGTGGACAAAAATGAAGTATTTATATTAAAAAAATTGCATACAGCAGTCTTTCATCCCAACTACTCTTATGAATAGTTAAAGAAACGATATATCCTAAGATTCGAGGACCATGGGAAGATCCTGCTTGGATTTAGACCTCCACCCTATAATTAGACTACAACAGACTGAGACTGAGGATAAATAAAAGAACTCCATAAACACAGCTTAGCTTCTTCACAAGTGGTTTAGGACTTCAGCAATTGCTAGAGAGAAGAACTGAAAGGCCCAAAAATAACTGCCTTAGCTTAACTTACAACAACACTCATCTTTCAAATTTTTGACACAATTCAGTTGGAACTTGGAACTACTTTACAGTTACACTAGGATTGCTCACCGTGTCGTCCTCCGTGTTATTGTTTAACAACAACTGGGTGATCATCTCTTCCTCTTTCTTTTCCTCCACTACGTCTTTCGGAGTCAAAAAGCTTGGTTGATTCGTCGACGATAGAAGCCTCGCCCACATTCTGTCAGTTATTACCACCTTGTTCTGCTTATCCGTAATTCGCTGCACATTCACCATATCCATATCACAGTCAGTAACATTCATCGCAGACCTTAATGAATGAATGGATGAATGAATTTTTATAATCAATCGTTGTTCTAAACTCGACAGACCTTCAAATAAATGCACCAAATGTATGTTATGCATGCATCTATTGTAGTTATTTAATGATCATATGCAAGGATTGGGGTTGGGGTCGGTGTCGGTGTCTTACGTAGAAGGGAATGTATGTCTGTCTTCCGTTAACAAGCCCACTAGTGTAGCCAGTATAGCCAGCCATTGCTCCATGTATAGCACTTTGAGCAAGCAGAGTGCAGTAAACATTGTCAGAGGCATTACTCGGAATAGCTCGGATCATATAAGTCGGATCTGCAAGAAAAGTAATATAGTTTGTCTGAGACATGGTCTGATCAAGCCTTTATTATGGCAATAATATTGCTTAAAGCATACCTATATATTTGAGGTTTATGGTCATCTTATGCTCTTTGGTGAAATGATCCTGCAGAAATAGAAATGAAATGTGCTCAGCAAACTATGATTTGATTCAAATGTTCAACTGTATAATCTGTAAGAATCTAACATTTAAGGTGTAGAAGCATGAGATTTTCATTCCAAAGTCAAGGTTAATGTTATCATAGTTGGTTCACATACGACGTGATCTCGTCTAACTAATTGTCTCTATGAACTGGCAGAATGTCGATAAAAAAAGGCAGGCACGAACTAGGGTGATTTTATTATTTTGGTATAATATAGAGCACACTGAAAGCCAAACCTTGATTTTCTGTGATATCCAGAGCCCAACATCTTGAAGAAGCTTATTTCCAGAAGCATCTTGCTTATCTGTAGAATTCATGCTTCCAGAAAGCAGCTCCTGCCCAGCTCCTTCTGCAATGACAATTACCATGTGACCGTTGTCTTTGAGACATCTTGCTATATACTCGTAAAGTCCACCGGGTCCTTCAAGATAGAAAGGCGACTCTGGAATTAAACAACAGTCCACATCCCTGCTCGCGAGAGTTGCATACATTGCTATAAACCCTGCACAAGAGAACCCAGACGAGAGTGTATAATGTTGGATAGACAGTGAAATCCCCATAGCTAATTTACTAAAAATAAACATAAAATCACATAGTTGCTAGATGCTTAACAAAGTTAGAAGAAGTTCTTCAAGTATAGAAGTTAAATTGATCATAAATGCTATATGACCTGGCTAGGTTGTATCCAAAGCCATACGAAGCAAGATAGCAGAATGTAAAAGAGAACAAAGTAGCTAATGAATGGCAAAATTGTTTCTTACCACAATAGCGACCCATCAACTTCACGAGCCCTATACCATTCTCCATACTTTCAGCTTCAACATGGGCTGCATTTATAGCACGCTGAGCCTCCTCAACAGCAGTGTCAAAGCCAAAAGATTTGTCAATCACCTGCATCAGCAAAAGACAGAGAACCCACTTAGATCCAGAAACAATCTAATTTCCTGCTAGTCATCAAGTTTGGAACATGAAAATGTACCGGAATGTCATTATCAATGGTTTTTGGAATGCCGACAACAGCAACTTTGAGCCCTCTCCTTCTGACTTCCTGAAGAAAAAATAAGAACATTTTTTGTGAGAATCAACACAACAAAAAGTGGATAAGCCACATGAAACCAACACGATTTGTATCTGACATCAAGCAAAAATAGAAACGAGAAAATGGAACATTAAGACAGCGAGTTCTATTACTTGCATCTTTCACAAAATTACCTCATATATAGCAGCTGCTCCCTTCTGAGTTCCATCTCCACCAATTATGTAAACCTGTGGAATGGAGAGCAATAAACTAAAATCCAAGAATTTGCAAGTGTAGTCCGGTATGTACATTGTAGTAATATATCTAAGAATCTATGTTTCCATCAAAATTGGAAAATAAACAAATAATAATAATATTCACACCTGATTGATGCCGCGATCTTGAATGCTGTCAACAATCTTCGAGGTATCATGGCCACCTCTTGAAGTCCCAATGACGGTTCCACCGCGTTTATGGATATCATTCACAAACTTTGGAGTTAAATGAATGGTATTCTTCGAGTAAAAACCCCTATATCCTCCCTGCAAATCACTTTAACTTAATTAATTCATGAAGATACAACATTAATCTTTTTTAAATCAAAACCTTCGGAATTAAATTACAATAAAAACAAAAACTCAGAGAAAAGTATTAGTGAATCACTGAACTTGAGAAGCTACATTCCTAGGGGTAAAAGCATCCATTTTGTAGGTAAGACCAGAGATTAAGGAAATCACTTACTTCAATTCCTAGAACCTTCTTGACACCATACATATTGTATAATCCACAAACTAGTTCCCTGATCACGGTGTTGAGACCGGGGCAAAGACCGCCACATGTCACAATACAAGCATGAACCTCGTCTGATTGAAAGTATACCTGAACAACAATCCATTGCAATTCAATAACTAAGGGATGAAATTAGAAATCATACATATACAGATAGAGCGAGAGGAATGGAGAGAGACTTACCCGTTGGCGAGGACCAGCACGCCTAAAATGTACTCCTCTTGGACTATTCTTATGAGCAACAACCTGCAAAAGAAAATAACAGCGATTCAACTAGCTACCTGAGAGAGTAATAATCTTCATTTATCAATGCTTCATAAATCTTGCTACTAGGTGGTCAGAGAAGATGCAATTTGAAGCTATTTCCTCATTAAGTCCAGCTTTTTGATAAATTTATAGTTGGGTACATTTCCATCCCAATAAACCAGGAGATGTATCATCTATCAGATCATCTTTATACACAACCTCCTAATGCATATTGTTAACACAAATCCAAATCTTAAGATTCATTAACTTTACACATCATAAAATATAAACAAGCGAACTCCCTCAAAACTGAAGTCAGATCCAAGAAAAGGCTAACCTTCTGAGGAACGGAATCATCAACATGCACAAAATACTGCCTGAAAAACACAGATTACTTCACCAATCACGTAATGAAATTACCCAACGTTATATGCCATCAGAAAACACAAATCAGATTTAGAAAAAAGCAGAAAAGAAGAAGCACCAACTTGACTACAGAATACGCAGGATTGTCTTGTAATGGATTGGAATACGTCTGCAACCAAAACAAAGCATCATCATCAGCATCAGCATCAACATCAGCATCAGAAGCCAACAACCACCGGCTCCACCAAATTAATAAAACAGGTGGGGATTGCCCGATTTTTTTGTGCCCACCAATTTAAAGAGAAGCACTTCTCATTAGAAATCAAAAAAGTGATTAAAACAAACACACCCACTTGATAAGATCACAGAGTAAACCCCTTTCAATCGTAACTCTGAGGAAACAAAGAAGTAAAATATCAGATGGGATTGGGGGAAAAACGTACAGGCAGATCGGGAATATAGTCGGACATGTGGGGAACATCTTCCAGAACATAACCAGCGTCGCCATGGACGATCTTCACCTTGGTACTGTCAATGTTATTAACAGACGCAGCCATCGCGATCCGAAACGATTCACAACTTCGAACTTCGAACAATAAATCCGATGGGGGGAACGAGCGAGAATTAACGAGGCAAAACTACCAATCTGATTTCGTTTGAACACAGGAACCGCAGAGCGAAAATGTTATATAGGTGGCCCCTGTTGACCAAATAGTGAAAGATGACCCGCAAAAGTAGAAATCACGGACGCTAAAATTGCTTTCTGGGGTTCGCTGGGGCTGAAAAGACTCTGGTATTTTCCGAATCGGATCGAGAGAAAACTGGTGGCTGAAAACTGGAGGAACTGCGACCACTTTCTTCTGCCATATTTGTATGATTATAATTATTGGGAAGAAAATAAAAATATACCATACAGAGGGAGACGTCTCCAAAGAGGCAATTCACACAATCAAACACGAAGAAATTAAAATAGAAATTCAGACAAAAAGTTTTGGAGATTCGTAAATCATTTTCGTTATGGAAATTTGAAACTCAGATCGACCGACGGAACTGATTTAATAAATTTTAATGAAATGCCTCCAAAAGGGTATGAGTATTCACTTTTTTTTTTTTTTTCCTTTTTCAGATTCACCCAAAAAAAAAAGGAATAAAATTATAAGGGAATATGATATGATAGGGATTCTCTTATTGGCGCGTATTGTATTAATAATTTAGATTTTTTTTTCATGTGTAAATGAGAGTGGATAAATGGATAGTTTATAGTGAATATTTGCTTATTATAATGTCAACTTTGATATTCAAGCTTAACTATCTATTTATGTATCTTTTTTAGGGCGAGAGAGTTATTTCACCCTTCATCTATGAATTATGAGAAACAACCTATGGTTGTGCATATTCTTTTCATTTGATTGAGTTTGTTATAAATAAAAAATGTTCATGGAGGATGGTGGCTAATCAACACGTTGGACCACAATCGTGGTCCATGCAGGAGCGTATCCACTTTATTTATTTTATTTTATGATTTATGGATCTACTATAACTACTCACTTCGATTCAATAAGAAAAATTTTAAGATAGAGTAAAAGAATCATTTTCACTTTTTGTAATGTCGTACCTTAAGGGTGTTAGCTCCTTCTAAATGAATTATGTCTCCACGGAATGTTACATGAGACATTTGTTCATGACAAGAGGTCAGATAAATTTCATTCCCTTCTCATTTTTGTTTTTTTTTTCTAGTTTTTTAGTACAACCAAAATTTAAGATGTCGATGTGAAATACTGAAATCTCGTTTTCTGGGAAATATGGATGAAAATATCGATAAAATGTGGATGTTGATATATATTTTTAGAAAATTTATAACAATTAAAAAAATTAATTAACAAATATTTAAATTAATAAATAAATCTTTTTCTAATTTTAAATAAGTTACAATTTATTATTATCAATTTTATGTTTAAATTAGTGATATTTTGTCAATATTTTTTTTACCTGTTGATTTCTTTCCATATTATGAAAATGTCATATGTAGATATTGAACTCATGGACATGGATTTGTCGAAATGTTGACATTGTCAATGAAAATTTAATACTCTAAGTACAACAGATGTAGAGTATGAAATTTGAACTTTATACCTCAATGAAAGAAGTATGGTAATTTAAATCTCTCATATTAGGATGAAGAGTAGATATCATTTGAGTTATGTTGATGTTGATTTTGCTTCTTTTACGGGGGATTGTTATTAATTTTTGTTGATTTGATATCTCCATATTAATTTTTTTAGTTAATTTATGACATTTTTGTAGTGATTTCAGATGCGTCATTTTATTTGTTTCTATTTCTCTTCTCTCTTTCTCCCTACTAAAAATAAAATTGTTACAAAATTTTACTCAGTAACATACTAAAATAATACTAAATTTATATTTGGAGAGCTACTTTTATGAAGATACAAATATAAAGTCTTAAGTGTCGTTATTGAGTATGTTATTTTTATAAATTTGAGGATGATTTGCGAAATATAATATACATATATATATAAATAATATACTGTTTTTATAATTCTCTCAAAATCATTGTTTATTTTAACTACTGAGTTTTTCTAAAGTTGATTTAGATTAAATTGAACTAATTTAATTATATCAAAATTGTTCCCTTGTAAAAGTTATTTCTTGTGCAGCCACGATGGCATGGCAGCGACACCACTATGAGTCTGTTAGAGGATGAGAATGAGAAATAAAAATTGAGGGAAGAGATAAAAAGGGCGAGGTGAAACATAAAAAGAATAAGAATAGGAAAAAATTCATTCTTTCTTTTTCTTTAAAAAATTCACTTTTAAAGATCCGGAGGAATTCCTCCTAAATTCCTGGTCTAATAATATATAAACAAGTATTTATTATTTTTTTTATTTTACATAATTCCTACCTGGTCTTAGAGATGTTCAAGAAACCAAACAACCTGACGAACCCGACTAGATTGGGTCGGGTCTCGGGTTGACCCTTGAAAATCCCGGGTCAACCTGACCCGATCCGAGATTATAATTTTTTTTACTAATAATCTAATATTACATATATATAATAAATTAATAATTATTAATTAAAATCTTATTTTTTATATTCAATCACATCCATCCATTTCATTAAATCTCAACTGATTATAAGTTTCAATTAAATCCTCTCCATTTTGAATATTTGATTCTCTCTCTTTTCTAACATTTTCAATCTGATCCTGATCCTCCTCCCCATCTCTCTCTATATAAACTTTTAATATTGTTGAATTAGAACTTACATATTGGTTTCAATTTTAAAATTTGTATTAAATTAGGACTTACATGTTGGTTTCAATTAGGATTTGAATTTGTGTATAAATTAAGCTTTTGATTTTTCTATATTTATTTGGTCAATGTTACAAACAAACCAAAAGTAAATTAATTAATCAATTTTTAAAAAAAAAAAATCCGACAACCCAATCCGACCCAACCCAACCCATGAACACCCTTACCTAGTCCACTTATCTATATCAATGGAGCAGACAGTAATTAAGAGGAATGGAGAAGGGAAGGTTTTTCCAAAAGAATATATGTGTAAAGTTATTTTTAGGCAAATCATTCAAAAATGGCAACTCATTCTAAAATGACACTTATGCCATTTCATACTTTTTAATTGTTATTAGAGAACCATTTTCCCAAACCTCATATACTAAAGTTTTTCTGGGGAGTAAATAGGCAATAACTCAAAACTTTATGGAAAAAAGTATAATTTAACATTAATTTTATTATTAATAAAATAAATATATATTTTATGACAAGAAAAACATAGTTCCACAGTACAGATATCTATCTGACCTCTTCTTTTGGAGGTAAGTTCTCATATCCAACAATTATTGTACTAAATGGATATCTTTTTTATTTTTAACAAAGTAACATAAACATAATTTTGCAAAAATATAAAATAAAAAGTGTAACATCATAACCTCACCTATTTTAGTCTCATTTTATTTTACAATTCTTTTTTAAATTGTCAACGATATTCAAAAAAATTAATTTTTCTTTTTAGGGAACAATATAGTTTTTATAATTCTTAAAAAATAATTTCCCAATTACTTTAAGCATAATTTTCATGAAATATGATTTGACATTGAGCTGTTAATTTTAAATTTTTATTGTAGATATATTAATAGGATGAATTTACTACTTGATCAACAATTTGATTGAGCTCAAATTTTTTTAGTACAATAAATTAGGGGTACGGGGATTTGAATCTTCGACCTCAAACAAATGAGCAAGTGTTAATTATTGTTGAACTATGCTCATGTTAGATTGGTTCAGTTTTTTTTTAACTCAATTCAACCTACCCAGAAATACTCCTATAATTTACATTTCTATATATTGATCATTTACGACCCATTTGATTAGATGTCCATTTCTTATTTCTAGTTTCTAATTTCTAGGTTTTTGAAAAACATAAGCGTTTGGGTAGATAGATTTGTTTATCGTTACTCATTTTTGAATCGTGTAGATATTTTGGAAACAACAGTCTTTTTAGTTTTTATTCCTATTGTAACTTTAAAATAAAAGTATTATTTTATCATTATTGACCCATAAAATATATAATAAATATTAAAAAGTAAACCTAGCATAAAATTTTAAATATTTAATTTATTTTTTTTTCAATTTAAAAGTTCAGAAAAGAAGAAACAATAAATCGTACCATATTTCTGTTAAGAATGAGAGATAAGAAACATAAACAATACAAACGGGTCCTTAATTTTCAAATATGTTATTCATTGTATTATAACTACTAATAGTTTTAGACTCGATTTCCAATTGAATTGACCATTGATATGACTATGAATAGAAGAAATCGAAGAAGGAACATTCATGGAAAGTAAAGTAGGTTGTTAAATATTCTTCCACAAAAGTCATCCATGTCCATTGTCATTTGATAGTTTAATTTAATATAACATTAAGGTTCAATATGATTAGAATATTTTGCAAGTCGCCAACTTGATATTTGAATTAAGGGGTAAATAGATTGATTAAAGTCGGTTAAAATCACCTCAAACTTTTTCTTGAGGAGGGAAAAGCGAGCATAGCTCAGTGTAATTGGCAGATTCTTCCAACCAAGAAGTTGTGAGTTCGAATCCCCTCCCCAACATGTTGTATTAAAAAAAAAAACATTTTTTAAGGTCTACATAATTAGGTGCTAATTACTATCTTGTTGCCATACTCAATATCTTTCCTAAGGAAATGAAAATACCTATTTTCTCTTTAACATATTTTCATTTCATTAAATTAGACCTTCAGCTTACATAGTGCAATCACTTTTTGCTTTCTACTTTTTTTTTTTTAATACATCCACTCATTTTAATTTAAAACATATATATAATGCAAAAAAATTCAAAAACTAATTAAACTTGGAAAAAATAAGTCTAATTAATGCACAAAATAACTCCACCAAAATTTACAAACTTTGTAAAAATAACTCTAACTTCGTCTTTGTGGTCTTAATCCTAACAAATTCATACCAATCATGAGTTATACAACTTATTGAACACATACGATAATGTTTTTCTCAATGACTATTATTCAGACGAGAATCAATAAAAAAATATAATAAAAAGATCAATAATATTTAAAGGTTAAGATTAATATTGACGCACTCAATTAATTTTAAGGTATAATTGTATGAAATTGAAAGTCTATGATAAAATATAATAATTGATATTTTCTCAAATAATAAAATGTTATCGTCAAATTTCTATAATTCAATGATTTTTTTTTTCTTTTTTCTTTGAAGTGCAACATTGTGTGCGATGTGAACATGAACATAATTAACTAACATCTACACATTCTTTTGAGGTGGAAGGTTCGAATTCCATACCTTGATATATTGTTGAGATGAAAATTTAAATTGTCCGAATATATTTGCTTTAAGTTATGTTGGGCTACAATTGGGTGATGTTAGGCTCAGAAGGTTTTCATAATGAAAAATTAGAAGTCGGCAAATAACGAATACGAGCAAAACGATGTCAAATTGTCGGCGGAAAGAGAAAGAAGAATGGACATTTTTCAAAATTTGTTTTTGAGAATAACTTTATAATTCTAACTTTATTTTATATTATTAATTAATAAATAACTTAAGGACCCCATTTTTTATTTTGAAAATTTGCAGCCGAAACTTGACTTTTGCTCCACTTCCGCTGAATTCTCCAATTAATTTTCTATAATAAAAAGAAAACTAAAATTCTCTAAAATTTTACTAGTTTCAATAAAGATCAAATATCACAAAATCGAAATAAATATCATAAACTCATAAGTTTCTACAAAAATTCAACACTAATGTCCAATTTTTTTTTGAAGTCCCAACATATAATTTTTTTTTTTCTCTAATGACTCTTAAAATGGAAGGTTATCATGAAGTAAAAATTGCAATTATTTATTCAAAGTAAATCTTGCCACAATTATCCAAATTAATTCAATCAAATCTAAAGTTTAAAATAAATTTTGAAACATATTTTGACATACTTTGGAGTAAAAATTGAGTTTTTTTTTCCTTTTTTTACCCTTGAAGATTTCATCATCACTATTATTTTGAGGGGTGATATTTATGAGAAAATTATAAAACAAAAGAAACCATCATCCAAATATTTAATTTTTGTTTTAAAAGATAAACATAGTTTTCAGTGTACTATTATTATTTTGAGATGTGATATTTATGAGAAAATTATAAAACAAAAGAAGTCCAAATATCTAATTTTTGTTTTAAAAGATAAACATGATTTTCCCGGTAGTAGCACTCGATCTTTTAAAGGTGTTATTTATTTACTTTGCATGCAATAACAAAAATATGAAGCATCCCGTTAAAATGTTTGAAGATCATAAAACGACTGAAAATGATTTTGTAGTTAAAGACTCATACTTCCCCGTCAAGATTTTATCAATTTCTACTTTACATTTGTTGTATTAGAGAAAAACTAATAATAAGATGGTTAAAAATAAGAATATTACATGATGTGAAGTACATGTTTAAAATCAATTTTTTTATATAAGAATTACAATCTAAATCGATAAATGAGAACAAAAATCACTAATATTTAGATCAACTACCTTATGTTGAAGTTAGCATAAAGTAATATTTGATTTAGGAGAATAAGATCCGGTGAATATAAATAATTAATAAAAAAGAATCCAAGTTAAAGAAAGAAAATCCAAAAACCACTTTGTGAAAGGACCAATGAGAAAAAGTGTAGATATTATTTCTGTGAGTAATTTGGGAAGCTTAGGTCACTGTCCACGTGTCAGAGTATGAGTGGAGGAGAGAAATGGAGCATTAGGAGGCCGGATGACACGGGGGACCCGTGGACATTAGCCTATTACGTAGGACTTGTGTTGTTTTTTACTTTTAAAGTTTTAATCTTTATTTTTTGTCTGTTTCTTGAAACAGCATATTTTTTATTTTTTTTTTCAAAAGAAAAAGAAAACAGTGTGTGTTGGCAGTCGAATCGGATGACGTGGATTCGTCTTTTAATTAAAATCAAGGGAAGCATTAATTCTGATGCGGTGTACGGTTTGTTTGGTTTCATTCACTTAATTATGTTAAAAATGACGTCTCCTCTACCTAACATATACTCATACACATATGTTTATAACTTTATAGTATAATTATTTCAAAAATTTACAAATTTCCAAACATTCATCTCAGCATTTTTTTTTTCGACTCTTGATTATGAGACTTCCGAGAGTTGGAAAGTTGTTGGGTTTTATTCCATTTCTAATTTTCACTTTTACTTTTATACCCATGTTATAGGGGGGAGGTCAAATCAAATTAAAGTTGATATGAATGGAAGATGCTCATGGTAATTGCGTCTTTGTGCTTGAGCTGTAAGGCCGAACATACATACTACTTTTATTGAATATGACCTTTCACATGATTCTGTATGTGTTTATGACATCGAGTACCCCAAAAGTCTAATTGCATTTTATAAAATTGAAATGAAATGTTACAATTGAATTGTACATCCGAAATAGCGGTAAGAAGACATGATCCCATGTGGATACTTGACATTAGTCCAAAGGGATAAAAAAAAATTGTATTATCATAGTGATCTTTGTTTAATTTGAATGATAATTTTTCTCTTTTTTTTTTTTAACTAAAGAAATCTATATAACTTATTTTGAACCTCCGTGGTGGATGATGTCAATCAAATGGATATATGAAGAATCGAACTCCCGACCTTAAGAAAGAGAGTGGATGACATTTACCGCTGTTAAACTCATGTTGACTACTAACTACAGTTTTATGATTATACACGTACTCTTTAAACAAGCTTTGCATGATTGTAAACCTAATAAAATTGGTGAGAATAAAACAATATAGAATCTCGAAACTAGGTTATTGATTTTCAGGCAAAAAAAGGAAGTCTACAAATTACAAATGGAGGACTATATTGTATCATATAATTTGATTTGATTTGATTTAGAGTAGTGCAGTGGAATTAAATAAGTTTAGAGAGGTCAAAATAGAGAGAAGAAATTGTGGCGTCAAACTTGGAGTGGAGCTGATGGGCCAAGAATCCAGTGTAGTGGCCCTCATGGGCGGCCATGCAGATCTGGACCACCCTTTTCGACATCTGGTCTTCTTCGTAAAACCGCTGGCTCATAAATTCATCAACGCCCATCCACTGCTTTTGCAAACGCCCATAAATTCATCAGTTTCTTTCTTTTATTTTCTCTTAATCATCCGTTTTTAATTTTTTTACCGTAACTCAGCGGTAATTGACATATATATGAGAGTTGGAATTGAGATGTACCAATTATTACTAAGTTATGCTCGCTTTGACATTTTAATCATCCATAATATTCCATTTTTCTTTCAGAGTATCATATTTTTAGATGATTTATTGGTTATGTTATGGTTTTAAATTTTCAAACTTGATAATTTATAAAGTCTATTTTGGTTCGGTATCATCATTAATTTTCACGAGAGTACCTTCTTTTTTTGACATATTACAATTGTTTGGTCAGGTGGGAATTTAAATCTTTAACATTTTGGTAACGTTCTTGTTTCTTATTTTCCGTTTCTTATTTCTTGTTTTTTGTTCTAATTTTTTTAGAAAAAGATTTATTTACCATGAGATTTGAACCATTAACTTGGGGATGATAGGACTACATAAATGCCCACCTTACCAACAAAGCAAATGCTCTATTATGATTCTTTTAGTGCTTGAACTAAAAAAAAAAATTATTCTTTTAGTGCAATGTTTAATATGTATCAGAAACGAAAACAGGAAAAATTACTTTTTAAATTTTCCAAAATTTAGCTTATTTTTTATAAATAAATTAGTTACCAAACATGTCTGTTTCTTAAAAAATGAAAAAATAACAAAGAAACAGAAAATGAAAGTGTTACCAAAAGGGTCCTTATGTATTAATCATTAAGCTATATGCTCATATTAGAGTCTACATTTAGGTATTATCATCAAAATACTGACTTAGATATAATGTAGGAAAAATTAATGATGTTAGTAGGTCTTATCATCAAAGTGGTAATTTAGATGTAATATATGAAGTTCAATGAAAGTTGAAGGCTAAGATCAAAGTTAATTGATGAAAATTCAAGGATTTAGATCATATTAAAATCACAATCATGTTTGTAATATGATAAAAATGTTAAAGAAAATAGGAAAGTGGGGGCTGTTCAGTGTTCGTAATATACCTTTGCTGCTTCAATTTCCTTGTCGTCGATTGTGATTTGGAAGGACAATGGCTTAAGCATGCAGATAAATAGCAAATCCGACTTCTCAGAGACCACAAGGTGGCAATGTCTGAAACAGAGAAAAAAAAACACACACACACTCGACAGACAGAATTAATCAGACCAAATTCTGTTTTTCCTTTTTCTTTTTTAATTTCTGACTGATAATTTGAGGTTCTTCCTTTTAATAGAACAGAATTTGGCAACAATTTGGGAAGCCATACCTGAAAGCAACCATTTCCAAGAACGTTGAATCAATCTGAAAATTCAGAAGTTGTTTAAAGTGAACAGACAAAATGACATAAAGCAGCAAATGCATTTAGAATATTGTAAAGGTTGTTATATTAATACACATGCTTACTCCAGTTTCTTCTTTGACTTCTCTGACAACTCCCGAGAATAAATCCTCCGACTGACCAAACAGAGGATAAATGTAATTTAATTATTCAAATACCACATTAAACAAGTGATGCAGAACATGGTATCAATTTTAATAAAATAGACTCCAAAATATCAAGTGTTCTATCACCTTGTTTATATAACCAGTTGGCAACTTCCACACGCCCAAGCAAGTACAAGAACATYTCTCTTTCACCACAAGCACCTGGATTATAGTTTTAAGTATCCTCAGAAAGTATTAATGATGTAAACAAAGTATAAAGATCGTGGATTTATAAATAAGAGAAATTTTTTTTCGGGTAACATTCAAAAGAAAATTTAGTCATGGGTGAAAAGTGTTTTTAATTAAAACCATACTTTTCAAAATTTTCATAATGTTAGGTTAGATAATCAAATGTGATTTTTAAATTCTAAAGGTGCATAAAAAAACTTAAATGCGGGCATTTAATGAGTGCTTATCCAAAGAATGCTTATAGAAGAAGTGTTTTCATTTAAATGTATTCTTTTCAAAAGTCATCCCAAACTCACTTGTAAGTCCTCGGAGAGTCGTATATCTTTGCAAGTTACAAGTTACAGGTTTGGAAGAGGGCATATGCGAGTTTGTTTATTTTATGCTACAATTCTGCTGATCCTACCAATTATATAACCAAATGCATATTACATAATTTGAGGCTTATGAAATTCACACTTTTGTACCTTCCAAACATATGCTAGACAATTTAAAGCTTTCCACTTCCAAATTCAAGTTTCTCAAAATCATGAACCAAATGCTTCTAATCTAAAGTGAACTATATCAAACTCGTGAACCAAATGATTCCGATCTGAAATACATGATATCATATCAACATGGAACATAGAAAGGATCTCATTCTTTTAACCAGAGAGAGAAAAAAAAGATGTAAAGTAGAAAACTGGTAACCTCCTTGTTGTCATTGATGAGGAATCCTGCAACGCCAATATGATGTGAGGGGCCAGAAGGGAGCATGCATGGCAGATCAGGAATCCAGTAAGTGAGCATGACATATCCTGCTTCAGCATAATGATAGTTAAACCCCTCCTGAAAATTACAACTCCAAAATAGCTAATAATGGCCATGGAAGAACATATTGGAGAATCTGATGCCATTTTTATTGCAGTGATTGAAATGTGAAATCAGAATATCAGTTAATATCTCACATTAATAGCGATAGGAACAAGTCCAGCCTGCTCTGTTTGTAATTTGAGCCACACCCCCTTTTTCCCCTGCATGGAAAAAGAGTTAAAATTCGCACTCTTTAAGAGAAACCGTGCTTCGATAAAGAAAAGGAAACTTTACTACTTTTTCCAGACCTTGATCCTCCATTGGAAGAGAGATTCCCGGAGAGCAGATGCAAAGGCGTTTGCAGAAGAGGGTAGGCTCTGTGCATTAATGATGACCCCTTCATATTCATCATTCAAATGATCTAGAAGTTCCACGGCCATGTTTGGTGTAGAAATGTCAGGAGACAAAACATCAAGTGCACTTCTTTTGGGTCCAATATTACCATTGACGGGAATTAGTTTTCTAGTACTTGAAGTTTCTGGTAGACCATCCTTGTACACGACACCTAGATTATAGGAAAGTCACATGAAAGAAGGAAAATTACTTTCTTTTCTTTAAGAGTTAAAGGAATGAAGGAATGATTATTTGTAAGTAGTAATTGTGACCCAACCCCACCTTCAAAAAAAGAACAAAGAATATAGGAGGAAAAAAGTCATAAGTTAGAGAAAATCTTTCTAGGAAATGTCAATAGCACTACAATTTCAAGTGATCTTGCATATTTGATAAATATTACCTTTTGGCCAACTCTGGAAACTTGAACTTCTTGTCAAGGGAAGGCGCATTGTTCTTTCTTTTGAAGAAAGCAAACAGCAGAAACCAGAGAATTGAATTAATCCCTCCATTGGAATTCACTGTACAGTTGCAGCCAGCTTCTTTGCATATATATATATATATATATATATATATATATATAGATATTTTCAAACATGTTGGAATATCCAAATGGGTCAATGATGCACGAGAAAAAGAACCAAAAAAAAAAAAGAAAAAGAATATGAATATAAGAAAGAATAGAATGGCATCGGCAGAGCAAGAACTACGTTGAAAATGATTCAGTCATTTTATCAAACACCTGATAGGCTAGAAGGAAGCAGCCATATGTACGTAACTAGCTTCCCACTAGGATCAAAGAATGAGAATATGCTGCATATAATTAAGCATGTCGTGGTTTTATCTGGCATTTTCATCAGAAGAATATCGAACATTTTTCACTCGGATCGTGCTGCTATTTTTTGGTGGCATGTGGGAAATATTCTTATCCTCTTCCCCATCCATCGTTCCTCATGGCTCTTAATCCCCGCGCCATATGCCTAGAACTGAAATTTGAAGGCCATGGAAGACTTGTTGCATCAGGTTCCATGGCATGGCTTTGGGAATTTTGGGGTTTTTCATGTTTTTATTCTTAGCAGAAGGTTGATCTAAGCAGAGAAAAATGGGAACTGGGAAGTATTTAGCTCTAAAAAAAAGTAAATTAAGAAATCAAATCCTAACCCAATTGTATGAAAATCACCTTACATGTCTAGATTATTATTTTTTTTTTGAAACATACCTGTCTAGATTATTAAATGAAGTATTTAATTAGTTTTTTTTTCCTTCTTTTAATTCTTTTTAGAATATTTCACTTCGGAAACCCATATCATAACCATACGGTTGACATGATATATTTTATTCTCAAAAAGTTTGGACCGGTTGGACGGTAAAAGAGAATGGGAGTTGACCTATCATTGGACTTATTAGTAGAGCACAAAAATCAGACAGGACGCTGGTCGATCGACTGCTAAAACTTCATCGATCGAGACCTGATTGGCCAAGATCTTATTGGTCGAGACCTAGTCAGTCGAAACCTGATCATGCCTTGGACCTGGTTGGACCCTGGACTTATAATATAATTTGCATGTCTGGTCTAACTTCATCTTCCATAACATATTTAACTTTCATAAGCACTCAATCGTGGTATTTAAAAGCAAAACAAAAAGTCTATTTTAGGAAATAATTTCTCATAATAAAAAACTTCACAGACATGCCTTAAACCAAACAAAGATATTATTTGCAGTGAATTTTTTGGGTGATGCAAGCTACATTACCTAATAATTTTAATAGAATCTGAATAATGTGGCACATAAAGTGAGTTATTCAATCTTTATGTATTAGTTTAAAGGTGGAGAATTTCTAAAAAAGATGCTTCAATATATATGGAGAGAGAA